GCAACTTCTGTTTTTGTTCTTGCTTTGGCAAAAGGGTTGGTTTTAAGAAGTGACTTAAAAGAGGAAAGTGAAGTAGAGAGACAGAGAAGTGTAAGAAAGGTTTGTGGAGCCACAAGTACCAGCGAAGGAGCAATTAAATTTGGGGATGCACAAGAGGCCAAAAGCATCGATATCTTCGAGGATTGTGAGGCTACAGGAGGCTACAGAGATACTGAAGAGCCGCAGGTAAGAAATTTAAGGTCAAGACATTGTTTGAGTTGAAGTCAATATACATTGGAGTGCACGAGGGATGGGACTTGGTATAAGTTAAGATAGGGCCATCAGAGTTTTGGATTACCTCAAGTTTATGGAGGGTAGAATGTGGGAGTGCACTGGCATCATCAACGATAGAAATTACAAAGATACAAACAAAGATTTCAGCAGCAGATGAGTCAGGACAAGGTTCGGGAAATATTATGGAAGTGGAGATATGTTTTGATTTTGGTGATGGCACGAATATAAGTTTGGAAGCTTATTGTAGGGTCCAATATAATACCTAAGTTGTGAACAGACTTTGTTGATTTCACACTGTTGTCAGGGAGAGGAATGATCATCTGTTTTGGTGCTTAAATTATTTTCTTCATGGGCATTTGTTCAGAGTTTCTTAAGGGTTACTTTTTTTCATTTTTGGGGCCTATTTTCTAGTTTTCCGAAACTCCTTTGTCATTCTCACTCATATTTTTTTAAGAGATGGAGTTATGAAGTAACAATGCCTTCAGTATATGTGTCATATTGGCATGTTTGGACTAACACAGAAGTAGAATTAGAAGAATTAATTAATATCCTCAATAGTTATCAGTCCTCTAATAAAGCCACAACACAGAAGGAAAACCTTTACTTCCCAGACATCACAGCATTTAAATTGGAACAAGGCAACAGACACAAGGTAACAATAAAAGTTTTGTTTTTAAAACAACTGACTCACGCTTTTACATGCTAAAATCCATCAGCTTAAACGTACCTTTTATAAACAGGTAAAGTCACATCCAATTTGTTTCCATCACATATACACAAAACTGGAACATTTTAACCAGGCAATTACTACAGATTTCAACGTCTAATTTAAATTTATTCTACAGTGTTAATTACAGTAGCACCCATTACAAATTTACCCTTGTGATCGCTCCCGAACTTATGCAACCTTGAGCTTGACATTCCACACACATTCGCAAGGACCTCATTATATCCGTGATTTCAAGTTTTCTTGATTCTTTGTTTTATGACCATTTGCTAATTGCTATGTTTAAAACTGTTCCCTCTCCCTTGCAGCCTCCTGCACACCCTTGCAGTTTCCACCTTCCCATCTCTTGCAGGCTCAACCTCCCTCAACCACTGGCAGCCTACCCCTCCCCTCAAATGCTTCCTGCAGCCTCCTCCTCCATCCTGATTTATTAGAGACACCATATAAAAATAGGAGTTTCATACTGCATAGCCAGTAAAGGGGATACATCAGGAGACTACATCAGGGTGAAATATACACTATAGCATATTAGTTTCACATAGAGTAATCCCTGAGATGGCAGGATTGTCTTATGAGATGAAATTGAGGAAACTGAGTCTTTATTCCATAGAGTTTTGAAAAATAAGAGATGACCTCATTGAAATTTGCGAGATTCTTAACAGGACGTGATAGTGTGGGTATAAGGTCTAGAGACAGAGGATGGTGAATCTTTGGAATTCTCTACCCCAAGGGACTCTGGAAGCTCAATCATTGAGCATATTCAAGACAGAAGTCAATGGATTGCCAGAAACTAATGATATGAGGTAATATGGAGATAGTGTAGAAAAGTACATTGAGGTAGATGATCAGCCATGATCTTATTGAATGGTGCAGCAGGCTCAATGGACTGAAATGCCTAGTCTTGTTTCTATGTTCCTCCTTCCACTCACCTCCCTTTTGCATTCTCCACTCACCCACAACATAGAACATAGAACAGAGAACATTACAGCGCAGTACAGGCCCTTCAGCCCTCGATGTTGCGCCGACCTGTGAAACCAATCTGAAGCCCATCTAACCTAAACTATTCCATTATCATCCATATGTTTATCCAATGACCATTTAAATGCCCTTAAAGTTGGCAAGTCTACTACTTTTGCAGGCAGGCATTCCGAGCCCTTACTACTCTCTGAGTAAAGAACCTACCTCTGACATCTGTCCTATATCTATCACCCCTCAATTTAAAGCTATGTCCCCTTGTGCTAGCCACCATCATCCGAGGAAAAAGGCTCCCACTGTCCACCCTATCTAATCCTCTGATCATCTTGTATGTCTCTTTTAAGTCACCTCTTAACCTTCTTCCCTCTAACAAAGAGGGAAAACAATTCCCTCTTGTCACCCCTTCATTCCACCAAGGTCTTACAGCCTCATTTTCGGCTCTCATCCCTCTCTGTGCTGCCTTCGCCCCTCCAAGCAGACACACCTCCCCCCCAACACACAGATCAGTCGGATGCCCTCCCCACCTTTCGGTCCCCGGCAGACAGCCTTACTGCCCCCTGGCCATTAATGAAACCTCCTCACAGTTGTGGTTGTAGGGTTAGGGCGAAAAATAGTTAAGCCAGAAGTGGATGGCTGTGATTCATTGTCTTCTGACTGTTTCTTGGGGGTTGGCTTAAAAAAGACATCCAGTTTTTGCTGCTTTGCCATTTTTCTTCTTTCATGAACAAGCTGTTCATAGGGTGCCAAATAAGATCTTATTCCATGAACTGCTACCCTGCTGCATTCTGCATTGTAATTGTTTTCCTCTAAGAGCTGCAACTGCTTCTCCATTTCCCTCACAATAGAAGACAAAACAGAAGTAGAAAGCTCTTGTGGTGCTGCATCCTGGACTTCATCTTCTTCATTTCCAGCTTCCACTTCCCCCTCAGTGACAAGTTGTTGTAGATCAACTGCAGACAGATCTTCACAGTGGGACTCAAGCAGCTCTTCACCATCCTCACTCTCCACTTCAAATCCAACTTGCTTTGCAAGATCAACACCACATTCTTTGATTCTTGGGAGCTCCTCTGACGGATCAAAGGTTTTAAAATCTTGAAAAAAATCTGGGAGAAGCTTCCACCAATCTGGCCCCCACAATAATGTCAATTGCATTCGACGTACTGATGGAATTGCATGATAGCCAACACAAGTTTGCAATTTACAAATAGCATTCCTCTATTCACCAAGGCATGTTATAGCCAATTCACGTTGCTGGAGCACATGCTACAACAAAACTGACTGTACTTAATTTTATGTAGAGAATGATAATTTTAAAGAGGTGAGAAGGGTGAAACAAGGTGAAATGCACAAAGGAGGAGCCGGTGCCAAAGGAGGAGGGAGTCAGGTCAAAGTGTGTTCTGGTGCTACTGTGACAATCAGGTGGGTTGGTAAATGGTGAAATATTTAACAAGGAGTGAGGACGTTTCATTAATGGCCAAATGCCATCAGCCCTCAGCTAAATTATTGTTAAGGCCATGATGTCAATGCAATCATTCACAATATCATAAGTGAAAGGGACATTCTGAATAGAGGTGAAATGTTGTGATTCTTGTTTCAAAGCAAGAAAATGAACCCTGCAAGTTTAAAACATGGAGGATACAATTTAAGTCAATTATTAGAGTATTATATTTTACTACATTTATTAAAGTAGATAAAGAGCAGACCAACCCTTCACCATTTTCAGGTAGTTTTAATCAACTTGTTCAGACATGTTATGACACACCCTTAGAGCATGCGGGACTCAAACCTGAGTCTACTAACCTAGAAGTAGGGACATTACCAC